CAGGTCAATTTCATTTTTTGGTTTTTTCTGTCAAGAAATTCTCAGCGGCAGCCCGGAGTCAGGAAGTTGGCTCTGCTTCTGTATTCCTAGCTGTGTGATCTGTTCTAATCATACACCCAGGAATACACTGTCCTGTGCAGGTGGCTGGCGTCCGTTGAGACTTGCCGCCGTGACGGAATTGTGGTCTGGAAGACATTAGTAGGGATGTGAACGCATCTGAAATCTGATTCTTATTAGATGTAGATGTCTATGGGTAAAGCCTCCACTTACCATCAGGCGGACTGTATACTCATTTGTCACCATTAATCTATAAAAACATGCTTTAGGGTTTTGGACTTTCTGTCTTAAATCATCTTAGATATGAGAAAAGACCTGGACTCTGCCTTGGACTATAGACTTACTTATTATGAATTGTGATATTTAACTATCGTTAATAAATCTCCACAGGTGGATTAGGCGAGGCAGTAATGTCGGCGTTGGCAATGGAAAGAGATGTGGTAGTGAAGCACATCTTTGTCCGTGGAGTACCCCGCTCCGGACCACCAACGGCTCTGCTGGACATGTTCGGTCTCTCCGCACCTCACATCACAGCCGCGGCCAAAGCACTGCTCAATGCTTAGAGCTTTGCCTACAGAACTCCGCCTTTACACGACAGACTTCAAAATAAAGTTATACCAAGGTTTTTAGTCTCCCAAAAAATCTCCATTCAAAGAAAAACTTTCATATTGAAATTTTTATATGTAAACAGTTTTCATTTATAATTTAATAATAGGAAGGAATATTAGTTGAATATGCCACAAGTGTAACTGTCAATTAAAAACCAAGTTGTTAAAGAAACATTCCCATTCTGATCATCTCACATTCCTAATGTTTTTGGTGAATTTGAGGTGAATTTGTTTTTACTTTTAAGCGAATAATGTTCCATCTGTTCTTTTTGGGGTCAAGGACCAATATCCTATGGAAGTACCTAATGCTTGTTTTTATACATTTTTATGGATGAAGTAGAAGTTTTTGTATTCTCTATACAATGATTGTTACAAGTGCCTTGAAATTGTTATTGCATAAGGTTTGGAAAGATTTTTAACACTATTAGTATGTAAGGATATTTTAAATTGATATATAGAGTAGCTGGTTGTTGGGAGTAGTGCACAATTTTGCTGTCTTTTTTCTTTTTTGAGGGTTTGTTTTTAACAGCACAATGGTGGGGTGTTTGAATCCATACTATAAGCCCGCCTATAGTTTTATACTGTTTACACATTGTGTTATTTTTATACTATAATTAGAGAGTGATTTTAACATTGTTTACAAACTTACATTATTTCATTTGTTAAATAATTGCAGGCATTAAATTGGTTAACATTTTTATTAGCACTTTACATTCCTGTTGTATTGCATTTTTCTTATTAAAATCACAGAATCACGATTTTATTTTATTTTATAATAAAATTTATTAAATACAAAAGTGTTTTATTTAAATAATTAAAACAATAATTGATATTAAACATCTGTACAAGTTAATAACAACAACATGTTAACTTCAATAATGACTAGAATAACTCACAGTGTATGTACACTTGTAAACTAAACTATTTTCAACTTACAATAACTTAACAAAACAAATTATTACACATTTACACAGTTATTAAAAGCCTTTTGTATCAGTTCGGTCTGAGGCAAGACATTTATAGTATAGCTACATTTTTGATAGTATTTTGTTCGTCTCCAAAAATGTCTACTGCCTAACAGGTCATTCCAGTTTTTTTTTTAAATAACATAAGAGAACATATAATAAGACAAACGAGCACACGGAGCATCTGATGGTAAGTGGATGATGTAGCCCATACACATCTATATTAGTCCTGGATTCAAAATCAAAATGCAGATATGTGTTGTCACCTCTGAAGACTAAGATGGAATGACTCGTTTCCAGTAAATATGGTTCTCTACACTATTCATACGAAACAGCAGCATCAAGCTGCTATTTTATGCTGGTATTCTGTGAGAGCGTGGCCCTTCCCCGGTCGAGTCGAACCGATCATGCTAGAAAAATAACATAGCTTTACCATGTCTTAAATAAAAATTGGGAGATAGCCACATTCACCACGTTGGCAGACTGATTGGCGACTGTAGCACCACTCGAACCTTTGACGTTGCTACTCGTTAAACAAGATTGATATATCATGTATTAAGTTTAAATCTAGAAAGCAACGTGAACTTTCTTCAACTATTCATAGATATTCATATAACAAATAAAAAACAAGGCTTCAGAAATTTTCTACAACTGAAGGACCAATATTAATTAGACACTGTCAAACTTTGATCACTCAGAAAAACTTAATTAACTATAATATGTACAATAAATAATTTACAAAATGCAACCATAATTATTAATTATATTTACACGAATAATACTTCATATTGGATTAAACGTATTTTGCGCATTATGTTTGGTTTATTGAACTTATTTCGTTTTCTTTATTGAATAAGAATAACAAACGAGCACGGTCCACTTGATGGCAGGTGAATACTGTGTGCTATAGACGTTACATTATCCTCGATTTAGAATCAAAATGCAGATGCGCCACCACCTCTGAAGACTAAGATGCAATGCCTCGAATCCAGTAAAAAAGTCTCTGGTTCTCTACACTCACCATACGAAACCCTGGACCAATAAGCTGCTATTTTACGTTGGTATTCTGTGAGAGCGTGCTCCTGCCTCGGTCGAGTTGACCCATTCATGCTACAAATATAATATAGCTGCAGCATGGCTCTACTAGGTAATTTGGAAAAAGGCGTAAATTTAGTTTTCAATATACAGACATGTTTAAAACTATAACAAAGTTCAACAGTATTAAAGGGTTGACATAATATGTTCTGTGTAAAAAAGACGTGGAAAGTCAAAGTCGAGCACCTCTCACGGCGCCCTCTCACATCTATTTCATAATGGCTCTTTTGGGGCGAAATACGTACTGTAGATATTTAGCTATGTATATTTCCGAATCGTAGTGGGGTTAATAGTTCGTAGTTCGCCCCTATTTTATAACAAGGACTTCATTTGTATTAGCGTGTGGACATTCAAATAACAATATATTTTAGTAGAAATATGTTAATATCTTATAGAAAAAAAAACTTAATTGATATATATTAGCTTGTCCTTCGACATATTCATCTTTTAACAATACCCGGGGTTTGCATAAAACATCTTCATAACACAAGTAGTTGCCAACACGACTAGTATTAATATTTTTCTTTCGACGACTTATTATATTCAGTAATTCTGTATCAAGCCCTTTTGTTTTAAGAGTAGACTATAGATTGAATTTTATCCCCCTCCCCCTCCTTAAATACATATCTGGCATATAACTTGCTCAAAAAATTAAATACGAATGTTGTTAGGGATAGTCTAATTTAAAACTACACGCGATTCCCTTGTATTTTTTGTAGATTTTGTGACATATAATGTATTAAATATATAAAATTATGCACGCCCATTCTGTGACGTTTTAGTAGATTTAAATATTTTTACTATATTTGACATGATCAAAACGCTAAAATTTTCCAAATATACATGGGGGACACATGCAGTTTTATAATACAATGACCTCTACCTAATTTTTGACACCGGGCGTAGATAGAAAATCTAGCTAACCTGTGAAAACTTGGTGCCTCCAACACCATAAGAGAAAGATTCCAACGCTGCGCTCTGTTTAGCAATGCAACAGAACGCGACCTGTGCCCTCTCGAAACTACCCAGAAATAAAATGTTAGCTACACTCATGCGTACTAATAATGCAAGATACTAACATTAAAATATTCTAAATGAATTTCATCAACAAACTTAGACCAAATGGTCTAAGTCAACAAACCACCCCGACTCTCGATATTTAAAGTAAACAAACGCTTACTTTTAAAATAAATACAGTATTAATTATAATAATCGCCTTTTATACGGTACAAGTAAGTACTTTGTGCTCACTTTACTGTCTTATGGATGTTCAAACTGGGACATCTGTCACTTATAAGTTGCTCAATGTCCGTTTGAAACTTATGCTGGCAACGTTTGTCCAACCATCCAACTCTAACTCCAATCGTCAAGCGCAGTTCGCTTACCAATGCCGATCCACACAGGGCAGTATGAGGGACGTCGTCGGGCCGGGCCCAAAGCTGAACTGCCATTAACAAAACACTACTTAGTTCAAATAAACATATAAAAACTCATGACACTGCTATGACCTTACCGATTTTGTATGAGGAAAAATAATCTTCGATGGTGGATTTTTTTTGTTAAACCATCCTAAATCCTAGTTTTAGGATGGTTTAACAAAAAAAATATTTATCGCGGAAGCAAGTTCATACAGAAATTGCTCAAGGACAAACAACCAGAGCGAGCAATTATTTGTAGATATACTTACATCAATATAAGACTATCGGATGTTTAAGAGCGACTTGTGCTACTTGACAATTTTGGTCACTTGGTTGTGCGTGAACCACATCGAGTTTTTGGATAGAAGGTTGGACAATCTGTATATATTTGAAATGAATTAATCTATTTATTATCTCTTTAAACAAAGTTATATTATTGTTATGTATTAAAAAACGTGCCAAACTTTGTAAGAGACTGTATTACAAAACACCAGGGCTGTGTAGGGCGGGATTTCGGTTTCAATTCTTACTCCGACATTAGAGAATTACACTACTTCACCATAAACGAGCCAACGTCCATGGATTCAAGGATTATACGATATACATAGTTCAAACTTCATTACGGACGGATGTAATTTCTAAGAAATGACAAGTTATAATTACATTTTGCGTATATTATTATATTATAAATGCATTTAATGGCCACCTCGGGGCCCAAAACATTTTTTCTTTGGTTGGTGGGTTCGTAAGGACCATAATCAAGGAAAGTTCCCTCCTATCGCTACCAAACCACACTAAGAGACTAAGATTCTAGGTTTCACTAAATGTCTAATAATTAGTCCATTCACTAAAAACTTTCACCCCCATTCCGTTGCACCATTTGGTTTAACTTGTTGTTCTACTGGATTTTCCTCGTTTGGTCTCTCATCCAATTCTCCGGGAAGGTAATCTTTCCAACTCCTGAACAGGTACCGCGTAAATTTCCTCAGTTGTCTAAACTTACAATAAGTGGCCCCTTCGGCCGACTGCAGCTGCTGAGTCTGTATTAAAAACCCTTTCTCTTTAAACGTCTGCTCCAACTTCTCTCTTTGTAAGGTCTTTCGGGACTTCCTCTTCTTTTTGTTCAGATCGTCCTTGCTCATAGCAGCAGAACTTTGTCCGTCCATTTTCATAGAAGTAGATGTTTCTGTGGAAGATTCACTTTTATTATTTGAATCCTTCGGTAGACTTTCGTAACTCTTATTGATTTTATTGCCGGTGCCGCTGTAGTATCTAAAGTTTCCTCCAGAGTCCACGGATAGCATCTTCTTTTCTTGTAGTGACGGTTTTGATCCACCGGTGAATTTGAACTTGCATATACTGACTTCCGTTGTTGGATTTGTTGAATTGCTTTTTGTGGGCATCGGGGGGATGAAAATTGCTGATCGTTTTCTTTTGACTGGACCCTGTATAGAGTTTGGCGAAGTCCTTTTCATTTTTGTACTGTCCGGACTCTTTGCTTCCTCTACTTGCTTTATCACTTTCGGGTCCAATAATTCAGATATCTGTTTGAGTACAAGTTTCTTCTTTCCGTCGGGAGAACTTGGCTCCGTCGGAGTACTCTCACTGCTACTGGAGAGTACTTTTTCTCTTTCTTCTTGCGATATTGGCAACTGGCCCGCAGCTGCTAGCCTCTGATAGTAGAGAAGCTGCGTTTGTAGAGCTAACGGATGCATGTAGATCCCTGCATTGGGCCAGTAAACGTATCCCGGAATCTTCTCGTCGCCATCTGGACCGACTGTGGATTGCGCGGGTTCTGACAGTGCCGGCGAAACAGTCCTAGTCTGTCGCGACAAATCTGGAGAACTGCTGGCAGTCGCTGGGGCCACATTTGTGTTCCTTTGGATAACAGATATGGCATTTGGTTGTTCGATTTTAAGCTCTTGCTCGGAGCTGTCCGCATCAGCCTCCATTTTAACTTCAGGGAGCGACGAGTAAATGTTGCCAAATTTCTTCTGTATCTGTATTTTTAAATCGTGGAGATCTCTGATACAAAGATTGAGCGGTTCATCGTCGCTATGCAGCGGCCCCGCAGCGGTTTCCGGTGCCTCTGGCATTGGCTCGTCTGGACTACAAAATCTCGGTGGAGACTGATTCTCCAGACGCCGCCTATTTTCTTGAGATAATTTACGCTCTAATAAACTCGAGATTATCTTGTTCTGCAGATTGGTTTTCGGAGTGCATAGCGGCGTATCTGCATTACGGACCGGAGGACACACAGCTAGCTGATTCAGTCGTTCTTGAGGCGGCGGTTGACCTGGCACGACCGTTCCGTAGTTTTCATATATAAGATGGCAGATGTCAGCCTTCTTTGGTTTCCGTCCACGTCGAGGTTTGGAGTTGTTCAGCGTCATCTCTCCCATGTACGGCAAGTCTTCATACGTCATGATCTTGCTGGGAGCGATAGCAGGGTTCTTCTTTTTCTTTTCTTCGGCCTTTGGTTTCGCGGCCATGTTCAGCACTGACGACGCCTGTGGTACCGTCAATGTTCCTGATTCATTCTGTATGCCAGCGAGGTGCTGCGCCCAAATCTTGAAAGTTTCGTTTGTGAAATTATTGATATCAATATTAGGTTTCGGATTTTAGCTTGTCTTGTGTTTTCTTCTGTTGTCTGGCGTTGGCTTTCTGCAAGCTCTGCTCATAATGGTCTAGATATTCTTGGGGTAGCGCTTGGTGGTGGAACTTCAGCTTCCAACGATTTTTCTGTCGACTGCGCACGTGCTTGGGCTTGGCTTGTTCCGGCCTATCGGCACGTTCCTTGCTCGCAGACAGAAGTTGCTGACGCAGCAACTCTTTATTTTCCGAAATTCTGAAATTATTTTAATTTAATATTAATATGGGATTTTCCTTATATAATAGATTTGAGGAAAGACTAAAAAAATAGTATATTTTCTCATCACATAAAGATTTACATACAGGCTTAATTCAGTAGTAGGCTAACTGATTGATCTTATATTCGTGAGAGACTGGTGCCTGAAGTATGTTTCCGAAAAATCCTGTTATATGGAATTGTAAGTCACAATGTAAAAGTAATTCGTCCCTTTTTAGTGAAACTTTCTGCTTAAACTATTAATGTTTTAAGCCAGTGCTCTGAGTACTATCTCTACTGATCGTAAATGGATGTAGCTGAAGATGAAGATGTAGCTGATAGTCTCTATGACTTAGCTTAACAAAAGCGTATTGACTCTTGCCAAGATTGGCACATTGTGGCAAATTATTACACATTGTAAATAAAAAAGTAATGTATTACTTTACGCATCATAAGCGACAAAGCAAACAGTTTGGTTTGAAATTAGAATGCGTGATATGTTAAAAACAACAGCAAAGGGGACTGGCCGAGCGTCTGGTTGCCCGATGATAGAAGGGAGTAAAGAAAGACATGTCATGACAAATGTTAATTACTGGACAGTGAATGAATGTGGTGAATATCCGCTGCGTTATATTACCCCCAGGGCAATTTTTTTATAGAACAAAAGTGGCAAACGAGCACACAGTCCATCCAATCAAATAACAAGTGAATGCTGTGACTAGGGTTGCCAGGTCCTAAAAGCGAAAAACCGGACAGACCAGCGAGCTTAGCCGGACATTTTGGTAAAAAGGCTGGACACCCTTATTTTTTGACGTAATAAAAAACATTTTTTTAAAAGTAAAACTGCTTTTTTATCATTTACCGTAAAATCTTCTTAAGTTCTAACGAAATAACAACAATTGAATTGCTCAGTCCTCTTTATTATTAATTACTCAATATTCATTACAATATTTACTTCGATAATTGCAATAGTATGTATGTAAGTATATTAAAAATGTAAAGAAATGATCAAATTTAAAAAGCCTAACAAAAGCCGGACACCGTATAATTTGGCCGGACACGCAACCAAAAAGCCTGACTGTGTTCGGCTTTATCCGGACGTCTGGCAACGCCAGCTGTGACCCATGGACATCTACATCTATATCTACCATCCATTAAGAATCGAAATAAAAATTCGTTGTCATTCCTGAGGATTAAGATGAAATGCCTTATTTCCAGGTAAAAGAGTATGTGATCCTATAAACTACGAAACACAGCAGCATTAAGTTTATCATATATTTTCTTAGCGCGGTTGAGCCGATTCATTCATGCTACAAACATATAAAACTGCAGCCTAACTTTACTACTTATAATCATACTATAAACATACTTATATGTATATAATAAAAAGAAATCGAACCTGTGTGTATGCGTGGGGAGGGGCGGTGCTGGCGGCGCTGGGCTGGCGGGGCCGCTGCCCGCACGCCGCATCACTTCTGCAACAATATATTAATTAATTATAGGTAAAACATCCTAGATACGTCCCGCTACTGACCACGGACCTCTTCATCATTTCAGAAATGGTTATGGAGCAGTTAGTTCGCCGATGATCGAACCTTACGATGTTTTCCTTCATCGCTGACCACGTGGTAAATCAGCACTTAAAATTGCAATTAACAATTTATTTCCTTGTCTTTCTTTAAAAATCATTACACCCATGTGATTATGAGGCGTGCACTTTTGAATTTTCCAAACTTTCTCACTATTCTTTATTTTGCTTACTTACACCAAAATAGTTTTCCCATATCGACCCTAAGTGAAACTATTTTTATGGATTTTACTCTGATTTAAAATATTGATGTACTGTTGTAATTTATATAATAAACTGTATAATAAATTAAATTAACTAAAGTACAATTTTGTAATTTAAATTAAATCAATCCAATAAAGAAATCTATATTTTAGTAGTAAAAGAAAAACAAGAAAACAAAAACAGTTGTTATGTGGCGGAGGCTGAGGGCACATTAAAGGTCAGATCGAATACTTGGCTCTATAATTACGATTTACAAAAGATGATAAGGAAATGGGATTTCAATTATAATTTTCAAGTATCTCATAATTTTTGTTTCATAAGCCGTATATGTTTTTGTTATTATTTTTTTTTTTTCATTATTTTCAATACTTAGTATAGATTTATCAATTTTTTTTAAATAAATGTATTCAAATAACAACTTATCCATATATTTTACGTGGTAGAGCCATGCTGCAGTTATATTATAGTTGTAGCACGATTGGTTGGCTCGACCGGGGTAGGACCACGCTCTCCTAGAATACCAGCATTACGTAAGTAGCATCTTAATGCTGCTGTGTTTCGTATTGTGAGTGTAGAAAACCAGAGACCCTTTTTACTGGAAACTAGGCATTCCTTTTCAATCCCCAGGGTTAAAACGCACCTGCATTTTGATTCTTTATTCAGGATTGATGTAGATGTCTATCAGACACAGTATCCACTTACGAGTACCATTTGTGAACTGTGTCTTTGTCACTCTTGTTCTATAAAAACAAAATCAAAATACACTAGTCAAAGAAATTAAGGATTATAAAAAAATCTAATTTTTTGATTGATTTTCAACACACTGTAATTCCGAGGAAAATAATCGTACAGCAAAAAACAAGCATAACATTGCAGCTCCAAGTGTCTAGTTTTCAGATCTGGCCATGAACATTTTTGTCATGTTTGGTTCTGGAATGATCCTAAGGAGTTTCCTCCTTTTTTCCTTCCGAAAACAAAACTTCCGAATTTTTGCTCGTCTTAAGAAAGGCCCACCGGGTTTCAAAAAATGTTTTTCATTATTTCACTTGTTTAAAATTTAATGCATTTTAAATTAACGTAATCAAATCAAAAAGCCTTTATGATTGCCGCGTAGCTATCGTTAATCAAAACAAAAAAGTTCTTTTTAACTTTGATAATTATCAACTATGGAAATAATTATCGTCAAATTAAGGGACATTAAATTTCCTACAAGTGCTTATTAGTGAAATAATGAAAAAAAAAATTGAAACCTGTAGGTAACTTTTATAAGACGAGCAAAAATTTGGAATTTTTTTTTCGGCACAATTTGCTTGTTTTTTTGCTGTACGATCATGTTCCTCTGATTTGAATTTTGTTAAAAACCACTCAAAAATCTATTTATTTTAAGGTGTTATAGTATTATTTATATCCCTTAATTTTTGTGACTACTTTATTACTAAATCAAAGCTTACGACAATAAACATGGCGCACTCGACTGACGTATACACATATTATAATTATTTTACTTGGGAAGGCTGTCGGTAATAGGGACTTGAATGGCCGATCAGTCAAGACTATATTTATGAAATGATGAAGTTCTTGGTATGATGTATTTAGGCGTGTTTCGGAAGTTTATTAAATACATGCAAGATTGGTCGAATGAAATTTAGATATAATTTAAGTCTTATGAAAATTAAGCTATGTGTTTTTTGCTATATAAACAACAACATACAGAACAATTATTTTAGACCATACAAATACTTGTTCTGTGCGGATTTCAAACATGCGCCACTCAGCGTCTCAACTCAGGGTGAAAAAAAAAAGTGAAATCACTTCTATAAATTAGTACTTAGCATAATAGAGAGAAGATAATATTCACAACATATTCAGAATATTGCATTTTGCTTTTTTCACAAATGTTGAAACAAACTCGTGTAGTGGCGGTGTAAGAATACCCACTACCCCGTACCATCCCGTGGGTGTCGTAAAAGGCGACAGAGGGAACCAAATCGGGAGGTGTTGCAACATCTTCCTAATAATTATTAAAAATAAAAAACTGCGGTTGCCAACCCGCTTGCCAGGCGTGGCAACTGTGGCAAATATCCCCCTTATGAGGCAATCTGTGGGGGAGGCCTTCGTTCAGTTGTGGACTTTGATAGTCTATAACTGTAACGGTATAAGAACAAGAAGAAAACGAACGAGTTTTTAATAATACTATTTATTTATTTTGTTTATTTTTTGTGGTGTATTTTTTTGTTGTTTTTGTAATGCATGCTATTTTATTTTGGTAGAGTATTTTCGTGCGCGTCGATGCTCATAAAATATTTATATGCATCATCATCACTATCGTAGAGTATCAGAAGTCCACAGCTGAACATAGGGCTCTCCCACACGTTGCCTCGTAGTTGGCAAGCTTGGCAGGCTGGTTGGCAACAACAGTTCTTTATTATTTTGAGTTGCTGTGAAGAAGATGCTGCTATTCATCTCCTGTTTTATTTTTCGCGCTCAACTCTTAGCATCCACGGGATGATACTGGGTAATGGATTATTGGTTCTATCAAAGTAAGTCTATGTCGATATGTATATGTAATGTTAGAAGAACAATTCGCATCAGTTCCATAATAGATAATTTTATAAATACCGTATATGGTGTGGCAAAAATACTTATAGTAATGCGGCGTAGTAGGGCGAAACCCGAGCGGGCCCGAAATATCCCTGCCGGGGGACGCGGCGCGCCATTTTGCAACATTACTATTGCGTAATTTATTTCTTCCAGATTCTAAACCGTCTTGAAACATCAAGATACCAACGTCCATTAGATGCTTACTGTTTGGTCATTTCGACATTTCTAATTTTAAACTGTTTGGTTTTTATGGCACACTGACTAGCGATCGTAGCTATATGTTCGTTTTAGATTGTGCGTAGGTATTTCATAAGTATAATCAATCTACCTGATGCTAAGTAGTTAAGTGGCTGCTGTGGCCCATAGACATTCACATCGATATAGAATCAAACATTGCTTTAGCACCCCGAGGACTAAGATAGGTATAGCCTTAGAATAAATAAATAGCAAGATATACATATCTTCTAGCCGAAGTCTAGACATATCTTATTTTTATGTGACGATTAACATGAACATACAGGCTAAAAACTTTTAGAAGGAGTGGTAGCGCAATGGTTAAGCATATAATTGCAACGTTGCGGGGCTAGATTCGATTCCCGCATGAAAGAAATGTTTGTATAACCTACAAAGTTTGTACTTATTAATTACATTGTACCAGATTTGGGCGTTTGTTCATTTGCAATTTTTATATTTAAAAAAATTCCACGATACAAGAGTAAACCTCGTAGCACAGTATTTAGTATATTATTAAGACTGAGGCCCTACAGTAAGGGAGTAACTTTTTTTCAATAAAAGCTCCATGCTTTTGAATTTACTATCTATTTTTAACCATCAATAAGCCTACATCAGTCGACTTGCTTGGACTTGCTTGTTATCACTCCACTTAGTGGAAGGTTGCTCTACATTGCACACTTGTTTTAAATTTTATTTAAGTAATGATTTGGTGACGGCAGGAGAAGAATTCAGTGACTTAGCGGTTAAGATCGGAATATCAGTAAAACCTTTCTCAAAAACCCTTGCAACGTCCTGATCTGATTTAGTTAATTTGTTGTTAAAACTTAACTGGTAGTTTATAGTATTATAGTAAACTACTACTCGTATACTTTCTCTATTGATTTTCGCTTTTATTAAATTCCTAAACGTAACATACTTAAAAATAAAAAATATATTAATACGAATATCTTGTTTGATGTTACAAAATGTTGTTATATAAAAAAACCTAACACAGTTACGGAGTAATTCTTACCGATAACAATTTTTACCCGACTAGGGCAGGGAGGGTAATGTTTTTCGAGAGTATGTATGTATGTATATCTATTTGTATCTATGTGTCGTCGTTAGCATGCTCTGTAGCCTAAAGTGGTAGATATTACATATAGAGTGTCGTTAGATTCGCCTAGTTGTGGAGTGGTATGAGGTACAATATTTTCTCTTTTCAGTAACAGTTTTTACACAGTCAGGTTGTTTAATTACTGTTTTACCTTTAAGCTTGTCAACTATATCACATATGGTAGTTACTGATTGAGCTAAGATCGTTCTCCTAATTTAAATTTACAAATAATGCCTAATGCTGAGTTTATTGGAAACTTTTCTATTTTTTCGAAAGCAAACAACGTCATAAATTACGTACATCCTTGAAGAAAGAAGCTTGTACGTGAATATTTCCGCTATACAATGACACTAAAGTTGTCGTATACAGCGCCACGTAGTAGAAGTGAATTTTAATGAAAATAAACATGTGTGCAGTTCACACGCATTAGAAGTGAAAGTTTCAGAAAAACACTGAATATTGTATTCTATCTCATTCTCTCGCAGGCTCAATCCAATTGGTGTACATGAAAATACCTTCAAATGTGTTAAATGTTTAATGTTAATTTTATTTACATGATATATCCATGCAGCTGTAGTGATACGTTATATATTTTTTTATAAGAGAGGGGGCAAACGAGCATACTGCTCACCTGATGGTAAGTGATTCCGCTGCCCATGAACAACAGCAACACCAGGGGGATTGCAGATTTTAGATTTTAAAAAGGAATAGGCTCTTTTCTTGAAGGTCCCTAAGTCGTATCGGTCC